TTGATCACTTCTGACTCAGAACCACTAATGTTTGTTTCCAGTAAAAACTCTCCTGTGCCAACAAGAGTACTGGTGATACATTTCTTAACAAGTTATCTACCCTTGTCTCCAGACATCATTCTAAGCTGCTGGCCTCTATTCAGCAACTTTTGATGGTGTTACTTTTTTTAATTTACAGGATGTGCCATTAGAAGGTTTATCACCAACAACTAGGATCATATTCCTTCAATGAATGTTTTTTTTATGATTTACTGAATGAAACATCAGATGTGGAATGTTTGTCCAATCACAGCATCAGAAAACCAACTGTATTTGACATGCATAGGCTATGAGCACTAAGTCATGACTGCCACTTGGCTGACAATATTGTAAGATGCCATTTGTTGTAGTAATAAGCATCTAGGTTTCAGAGATGTTAAAATGAAAAAAGAAAAGAATATGTTCTTCAAGTAATGAATTAATGGTATGAACAACCAACAAAGAAGTTAAGAAAAACATCAATAATGGTTCAAAAATGAATATTTCACTGGGATAAAAGATATGAAGCAACAAGAAGATATGGCATTTATGAACCATTTATGAACCATTAGGTACCCAAAAAACTTAGAATTAAAGTAGTCTAAGCAAATGGTATGAAATAACATAATTTGATTAAAAATACAGTCATATAGTAGAACAATTTATAGTCTTTTGGAATATTCTGCAGCAATCAGAAATGGTGAGTTTGTGTTGTTTGTAGGGACATGGATGAATCTGGAGAACATCATCCTCAGCAAACTGACACAAGAACAGAAAATGAAACACCGCATATTCTCACTCATAGGCGGGTGATGAAAAATGAGAACACATGGACACAGAAAGGGGAGTACTAAACACTGGGGTCTATTGGGGGGAAAAGGGGAGGGCCAGTGGGAGGGGGAGGTGGGGAGGGATAGCCTGGGGAGAAATGCCAAATGTGGGTGAAGGGGAGAAGCAAAGCAAAGCACACTGCCATGTGCATACCTACGCAACTGTCTTGCACGCTCTGCTCATGTACCTCAAAACCTAAAATCCAATAAAAAAAAAATACAGTCATAGTAAGATAATTTAATAATTCCTATGAGCAATTGATAGATCAAGCAAACAAAATATAAGAATTAAAAATATAAAGAGTAAATAGTTTATAAAATTAAATTTATATATATATGAATACATATATGTTATATGGTATGTACCTATTAATGCTAACATATTAAAACACATACTATATATAATTCTATGTAATATTACATGTTCATATTATATATTATATATAAATAAAATTATATATATAAATTCATATCTGAAAATCAGTGTTAATTTTTCTTAAGTTTGCATGGAAAATTTATTTTTAATGCACAAAGTCACAAAGGGAGTATCAAAAAATGCTCAAAGTTCATATAATACAGGCCATTCCATCTAACCATAGGCAATAATAAACATAGACTATTCTAAAATAGCCCCTAAATAATCCAATCACTGGAAAATTTAGCAATAATAGATACAATTCACATTTTAAAGGAAAATAATAACCAAAACAAATAGAAGTTGAAATAAAGACAATGAAAACACTGTATAAACATTGTAGAATGTGTCCTGATATCTCTTTGAGATCCTGATTTTAACTCTCTGGGATGCATAATGACAAGTGAGATTTGTGGGTCATATGGTAGCTCCACTTTAAATATTTTGAGGAAACTTCACACTGTTTTATAGTGGCTACACTATTTCAAATTTCTGCTCAAAGTGTACAAGGGTTCCAATTTCTCTACATCCTCACCAACACATTGGTTTTTCTGGTAATAGCCATTCTAACAGGTGTCAGGTAATATCTCACTGTGCTTTCAATTTGCATTTCCCTCACTATTAGTAAATGCTAAGCATCTTTTCATATACCTGTTAGCCATTTGTATGTCTGGAAAAATGTCCATTCGAGTCGTTTGTCCACTTTTTAATCAGATGCTTGTTTGTTTGTTTATTTCCCATTGAGTTGTGTGACTTTCTTACATACTTTGAATATTAACTTCTTATCAATACATGATTTGCAAATATTTTCTCTCATTTCATAGGTTGCCTTTTCACTCTGTTGATTTTTTCTTTGGTTGTGCATAAGCTCCTCAGTTTGATAGTCTCACTTGTCTACTTTTGCTTTTGTTCCTTGTGATTTTGGTGTCATATCTAAGAAATCTTGCCTAGATTACTGTTATGAAACTTTCCCTCTATGTGTTCTTCTAGGAGTTTAGGCAGTTTCTGGCCTTACATTAAAATCTTTAATTTATTCTGCACTCTCATGTTTATTGCAGCATTATGTACAATAGCCAGGTTATAAAAACAACCTAAATGCCCATTTATGGATAAATGGACAAAGAAATCATGGCATATGCACACAATGGAATAATATTCTGCCTTTAAAAAGAAGAAAATCCAACCATTTGGGACGACATGGGAAAACCTGGAGTATATCATGATAAGGGAGATAAGCCAGTCACAAAAGGACAAATACTGCATGATTCCACTTACAGAGAAGATATCTGAAATAGTCAAATTCATAGAAACAAAGAATAGAACAGTGGTTTCCAAGGACTAGGGGAAGGAGGAATGAAGGGATGCTCTTCAATGCATATAATCTTCATTTAAGCAAGAGAAATAACTTCTAGAGATCTACTGTACAAGAGTATGCATATAGTATACTGTATTAATATTGTACATTTAAAATTTATTAAATAGGCATATCTCATATTAGGCCATAATACAAATAATTATAGGATGTATCCAAGGATACTAAGAAAAAATTGCAATGTTTTATTCATTAATAAGAAAATAGGCCAGGCACAGTGGCTCAGGCCTGTAATCCCAGTGCTTTGGGTGGCTGAGGCAGGTGGATCACTTGAGGTCAGGAGTTTGAAACCAACCTGGCCAACATGGTGAAACCCTGTCTCTATTAAAAATATATAATTAGCTGGGCTCAGTGGCACAGGCCTGTAATCCCAGCTACTTGAGAGGCTGAGTCAGGAGAATTGCTTGAACCTGGGAGTTGCAGTGAGCCAAGATCATGCCATTGCACTGCAGCCTGGGCAACAATAGTGAAACTCTGAGGAAAGAGAGAAAGAAAGAAAAGAAGAAAGAAGGAAAGAAAGAAAGAAAGAAAGAAAGAGAAAGAAAGAAAGAAAGAAAGAAAGAAGGAAGGAAGGAAGGAAGGAAGGAAGGAAGGAAGGAAGGAAGGAAGGAAAGAGAGAAAGAAGAAAGGAAGAAAGGAAGGAAGGAAGAAAGGAAAAAAGAGGAAAGAAAAAAGAAAGAAAAGAAAGAAAGAGAGGAAGGGGAAGGAAGGAAGGAAGGAAGGAAGGCGGGAAGGAGGGAGGGAGGGAGGGAAGGAAGGAAGGAAGGAAGGAAGGGAGGGAGGGAGGGAATAAAAACAAGTAGGCACAAATTTCTAAATAGGTTGAATTTCTTCTTCCAGAAAACATCCAGGCAATATAAAGATGGCCAGATTCCTCCCCAGCTGTGAGTTTAGGAAATTAGATACCCCAATTGGTCCAAGAGCTGGTCTGTTTCTCCCAGTTTAGGTCCGTTAACCCAGTGTAATTATTAATAGGCCCCTTTCACTCTCCTAGGTGTCCTGGTCATCCCACAGGTCTAGAGAAATTTCAGGCACAGGGAAAGGCAGAGGAGAAAAAATTCTACTTTTTTAGTAGGAACAATGAGAAATTAAAAACCTGGGGTGCACTAGGCTGTCACCAGGAATAAATGAAATCTCTGACAGTAATGTGGTGACTCAAATGCTGAATGGAAGAAAGCACCAGGATGGGATGAGGAGGTTGGGGCAATGCCTGCAGGGCCCTGGAAGTCATCAATGTGCTCAGGTAAACAGTATTTCCACATCTTCCTCCAAAGCTTAGGGACAAGTAAAAATATAATGGAAAGTAAACACTACAACAGAACTACACAGATTAACCATTTTGGAAATCATAATATGGAAAGAAATAAAGTTTCAACTAATATTCTGTAAGAAGAAAACTTACTTCAAAATAAGACAGAATTAAAAACAGTATTCTCTAGATGAGTGGGAGCCATGACAGTTTATGGTGTGTGAGTTCACAGGAAAAACTCACAGGAGACTCTCGGAAATCCTTGCCAGAAGGGGCAGGAAGTTTTTCAGCTAGCTGTGAACCTGCATTGTGCACTGAAATATGGAGTGAAATTTCTACTAGTGAAGCACTATTTGTCCCACGTACCCATTAGTGAGGCCTTGAGAAACCCAGGGTTAGGAAGATACCACCCTGCCCAACAATCTTCCTGGTTTCTCTTAGAAATGGGAGCCTTTATGTGAGCCTGCTTTACAAACTATAAAACTCCTTAGAAGTGTAAGGAATCGATACTATTACCACCATATTCCATTAAAGCCATTTGATTCATAAAAGAGTGACTGAGATGACAAAATTTTTATTTCACAAATTTAATGCTTTCTGGGATCCAGTGATAACACTTTAGGTGAAAGCTTTGTAAACAACAGCAGTTCTTCACCCAAACCAGCACCAGCATATATCACTTCACTGAGACATGATCCAAGCCCAGGAGTTGTGCAGCCTTCTTTCTGGGACTCCTCTTTCTGATGGAACATCCATATCTGCTTCTCCTTGTCAGAATCCAAAAGGTCTTGATACACTATCACAGAGGAATATATCTGAAAATCCAGAGACCTGGACTTAAAATTCAAGAGTCACCCTCTCATTTTTACTTGGAGTATTATTACCAAGTATGTTAAGTAGAGCTTTCTTTATTATTCTTGTAATGATGCCATAGTTCAGCCACACGCTCACGGCAAGGCCCTCTGGGCTATTTTCCACATGGACCCTGGGAGAGGGCACGTAGCCCAGTCTAGCCCTTAGGTCACTGAATGAATATACTGGGAGGCAGCAGGATACCCTTATGTGGAAAGTCCAATAACAGATCCTCCCTGCCCGTTTCAGGCTAAGATTATACCAAGATTTTCTCTGCATGGAGACCAACCTCCAAACCCAAACTAACCTTAAGACAGCATAGTTAACCCAAAGTCAGTGGTGTCGGCTTTCCCCAGTTCTTGGGTAAGGATGACAGGACAGCCTCCTTCAGAGCTGACAGCCAGGGAAGGCCACAGACTCAAAGGTGGAGCTTCTGCCACTCTAACTGTGGTAGAAGAGAAATGGCTTCACAGGCTTGGGTTCGTCATACAAATCCATTATATCCTGTTCCTGAAGGGTGTGAAGGAGACACCAGCAAGAAACATAACTGTTTGAATGTTTCACATTCTCTACGCACTGATATGCCATGTCCAAGATAGCATTCCCTACTCACTCAAGCAGCTTGGAGACCTCTGTTTCATATTACAGGATTGGGGGTCTAGGGGAGGGACAGCGAAAGGTGGGGAGGTTTGGGAGAGATAACATGGGGAGAAATGCCAGATATAGTTGATGGGGGGATGAAGGCAGCAAACCACCTTGCCATATATGTACCTATGCAACAATCCTGCATGATCTGCACATGTACCCCAGAACCTAAAGTACAGTAAAAAAAAATCACACAACTTAAATACTTTTCTAACAAAGCATTGATTGAGCCATCATTTGTTGTTCAGAAACAGAGAAATTTAAAGAATATTTATTTAACAGTTACTGTGAATTCCAAATTAAAACATGGTTATTTTCTGTCAGGTTTCTGCACCCTCAGCACTATTGACATTTTGGGCAAAATAATTCCTTGTTGTCAGGATCTGTCCTGTACAATATAGGATGTTTAGCAGCATCCCAGTTGTCTATCCACTAAATGCAAGTAACACACCCCCATCCCAGGTTGTCACAACCAAAACATCTCCAGACATTGGCAAATGTCCATGGAGCAAAATCATTCCCGGTTGAAAGCCACTGTTTTATATCCTGTCAACAAATTGAGTGGCTGCCTATGCTTATTTCCTGAAAATGATCAAGATGTTCCTGTAGTACACAAAGGCCTGCTTTAATTATCTTTCTTTAATAATGGAAAAATTGCAATTATTAAAGTGTTCATTACAAAGAATTATGTTTGTTCATTTTAAATTGCAATGCATTTTTTGCTGAAACGATGTTTTAATAAGTTCATCTACTTTGGGATAATTAACTGCTAAAATGTCCTTGCTGATTTTACTCTGTGTGTGTGTGTGTGTGTGTGTGTGTGTGTTCTATTGAAGTTAGACATCATCCTTGCCAAATTATTAATATATTTGTAAATTAAAATAAGTCATTTTAGTAGGTTTGTTTCAAAACATCCCTGAAACTTTTTCTTATTCTTTCATAACACATTCGACCCCAAAGAAACCAAAAATAAATATGTGTAGCATAATAAGCATATTGTCTTTTAAAAGATCCTAAAATCTGAGTTTCTATCAAATAAATGAGCTCCTTTCCTAGTCAAGCACTGGCAGGACCTGTCTTGCACACTTACCTTTAGCTGCAGTGCAGGCTGCTCTCCAACCTTAGCACACTTCAGGCAGAGCTTTAGCTCATTCAGTCCCAGGTAGACGAGGTTCCCTCTGTCTTTCTCAAGGGTCTCCACATGTTGGCATGAAATTAAGGCAATAGTGACTGGGAACATGACATGAAAAGTGGTATTCAGGTGCCATTTCGAGGGTGGTATCTCTGAGTCAGAGTTTTAAGGGCAACAGGGGCTGGAATCTGCTAACTGACACTTGCAGTGCACTCAGAGTGGCCATCCTGCCTCTCACCACCTAACCCAACAGCCATCCTATCTTTGGGGAACACTTTCCATTAGAAAAGTCAGTCTTTCATGGATTCAAAAACTAATCCTTATATATTACACTCTTTTGTCCTAGTCTTACTCCTTGAAGTTTCTTAGAATTTGTCTTCCACCGTTTTTCATAGGCTGACCCTTCAGTCTCCCTTAAGCCTTCTCTCTCTTCTCTGACTTCATGACCATAGTCCCAGAACAACATTATGCTCACCCTCTATTCATTATTGTCCATGAGATGATCCTCTCTCTAGATATGTCCAGTTAATAAGCCCACTGTGGAATAAAGGCTGAGCACCAAACACACAACTGCACTGGTCAAAGGGGCTGCCTTTAACAGACCCTGGCTATTCACCTGGAGTCATATGGTGCTTTCTTGGGACTGCTATGAGGGTCCAATCCTGAAGAATACACACCCGATGATTGATATCCTGAATGCTTCTCAGCTGAGGTCTGACAGATTTTAACACTGTTGAGAAAGTCAAAATGTAAATTAGTAAGAATGAAAGCACAGAATATTGTCCCCTTGTCAATTTTTTGCCCTTCCATGAGGATCTTTACCTTTTTCCATTGTGGTGGTGTTGTTTCAGAACTACCAAGGATAGGAGTCCTTTTATGTGCAGACCAACCGCAAGAGAGGACCTGAGTCAGTTCCAAGCCACAGTTTAACCCTGGGTCAGAAGAAGGACTGGTGGCCAGCCCAGCAGTGACCCCCAGTCAGAATCTATATTCCCAGAATTCACCCAATTCCCTTACTTTCTTTGATGCAGTCTACCTCCAGCAGAAGCTGCTGCACCTATGAATTCTGCTCAGGCCTAGACCCAGGAACCCAAATATGACAGAGAGTGCTAAGACCAAAGACCTGGAAGCAAGAAAAAAATCAGAAGTCACCAGACATTTCAGCATAGGCCACACTAATAACCTGTTAAAAAGGACCCTGTATCCCTATCATTATGATGTATGCTTCTACTGCACTCGTGTGTTCTGACAGGCTGTAGCAGGGCCCAGGCCTTTTATCCACATGGGCCAGGAAGGAAGTTATGCCTCATTGGGGGTGGGACTGCCCATTCTAGTTCCTGGTGCCAGAGGATTTAGTAACTCTTTATGTGAATAGCATGGTTAAGACTTATCCAAGCACCCTGAAAAATGAGGGCATGCTAAGCTTTTAAGGGCAGGAAATATAGTCACAGATACTGAGTTGAGAAACACTATGGGACTTCTTCAGGGCCAATGACTCATCTCCAATGCCACAAAATAAAACAATGGAATTATTCCTAAGAATGGGAGCCCCCAGTAGGTGCAAGGTAGACTGAGGAGAGATGGGTCTCTTAAGACCTCTGTAGCTTCTAACCACTCCTAGTCCACAGACTATATTCTTGGCCAATTTCAGGCCAGAAATGCACTGATCCCAGTGACCCTCCCTCCAGCTTTTCAGAGCCACTGTGCATGCTGCTTCTCCACCAAGGGAGTCTTACCATAGCAAAGCCAGCTCCTGAGCACCATAGCCACTTTGATGGACTCTAGATCACTATCTATACTATAATTAGAGTGATGGTTATTTTTAAGTGTCAACTTGACTGGTTTGAGGAATACTTAAAGAACTGGTAATGTATTAATTTGGGATGTGCCTATGAGGGTGTTTCCAGAGAAGATTGGTGTATAATTCAGTATACTAGTGGGAAACATCTGCCCTCAATATAAGTGGGATCCACCCAATTGACCGGGGGCCTAAAGGGCATGAAAAAGGCAAAGTAAAGGTGATTTTCTGCTTCTCCTAGAGCTGGGACATTCTTCTCTCCTGCCCTTGGACATTATAACTCCAGACTTTGAACTCCAAAAATATCAGCATCTCCCAGGTTCTCAGGCTCCTATCCCATACTGAGAATATGCCATTGGCTTCCTAGTTCTGAGGCTTTAGGATTTGAACTGAGCATGTTACCTGCATCCCAGGGTCTCCAGCTGTCATGGGATTTACCAGCCTCCAAAATTGCATGAGCTTATTCCCCTAATAAATCCCCTTTCATACAAGAGATCATCAAAACTTTCATGGAAAATGCATATTATAAAAAATTATGCATTGATTTTGAATCATTTTGCACCAAAATAAACTTGTACTAATTTCTTGTAAGATGTTTGAACAGGATCTAGTTTGAGAGACACTAAGAAAGATGAGACATCAGTTTGAAAAGAGTACCTATCAGAGCAACATGAATTCTAACATTGAAGCAAGAACAAACATCACATTTATGGTGAAACTTGGGTGGACGAATGGTGAAATCTTTGATGGCTTATGATAAGTTTGTGGAGACAATGCTCCAAAGCAATCAGCAGTTTACAATGGATAACTCATTTTAAGAAGTGAGACAATATTGAAGATAGCACCTGCAGCAGCAGACCATCCACATCACTTTGCAAGGAAAAAGTAAATATTTTTGTGCCCTATTTGAAGAGGACTGAAAACTAACAGCAGATACAATAGCCAAGATCATAGACATCTCAATTGTTCAGCCTACACAATTATGACTAAAAAATTAAAGTTGAGGTGTGATGGCTCATGCCTGTAATCCTAGAAACTAGGGAGGCTGAGGCAGGCGGTTCACTTGAGGTCAGTAGTTCAAGATCATCTTGGTCGATAAGGTAAAACCTGTCTCTACTAAAAATACAAAATTTAGCCAGGCGTGGTGCCAGGAGCTTGTAATCTCAGCTACTCTGGAGGCTCGGTAGGAGAATCGCTTGAAATCAGGAGGTAGAGGTTGCAACGAGCCGAGATCACACCACTGCACTCCAGCCTGGGTTACAGAGCAAGACTCCATCTTAAAAAAAATAATTGAAGTTGAGCAAACTTTCACTCAATAGGTACCAAAACCATAGTGCTCAGTTTAGCTGCAGGCAAGAGCAAAGCTTTTAAAGAAAAATCTTAACAAGTGGGATCAAGATCTGAAGAACTGTGACAGGACATGAAACATGGATTTACTAGTATTGTCCTGAAGACAAAGCCCAATCAAAGTAATGGCTACCAAAAGGCAGATGTGGTCCAGACAAAGAAAAAGTGGAGCAGTCAAGAGAAAGGTCATGGCACAGTTTTTTGAGATGCGCAAGGCATTTTTATTGTTGTCTCTCTGCAGGACCAAAGATTGATAATATTTGCCAATTTTGAGAGTGTTTTGAGAAGATTAGCCAGAGCTTTAACAGAAAACTTCCTGGGAAAGCTTTGTCAGACAGTTCTTCACTATAGCAATGCTCCTGCTCATTTCTCTCATCAAAAAAGGGTAATTTTGTGAGAGTTTCAATAGGAAATCATTAGGTATCCACCTTGCAGTGCTGATTTGGCTTCTTCTGACTTCCTTTTATTTCTTAATCTTAAAAAATATTTAAAGAACACCCATTTTCCTTTAGTTAATAATCTAAGAAAAAAGATATTGACATGTTAAATTCCTAAACTCTCAATTCTTTAGGGATTGATTAAATGACTAGAATCATTGTTTGCAAAAATGTGTTAAACTTTATGGAGCTTATGTTGAGAAATGAAATTTATATTTTTTATTTTTATCTATTAATTCCATTTCCACAAACTTCTAAAAGTTTCCTTGTATATCTGTTTATCTATATACACAGTCATCCCTCGGAATTGGTTCCAGGACACCCCCAAACCCAAAATTTGCAGATATACAAGTTTGTCAGTTGACTCTGCAGAACACACTTGTACAAAAAATCAGCCCTCATTATCCACAGGTTCAGCATCCCTCAATGCTAGTTGGTTGAACCTGCATATACAAAGCACTGGGTGGGGGAGACGGGGGGGCGGGGAGAGAGAGAGAGAGAGAGAGAGAGAGAGAGAGAGAAAGTGGGAGAGAGAGTACACATAAACACACTTCCTACTGATTCTGACAAATCCTAACTAATACAGAGGGGAAGGAAGAAGCCTGGCTGCCAGATGCCCCAGTGCTCTGAACTTGCAGTGCCTGATGTTAGGTCTTCAACAAAAGGAAGCTGAGGTAATACTGTTGGTGCTTTGCTCCATACCTTCAACAACCTGAGTTCACAACTGCTGTGGGAAATTCTAACACCTGTCAGCTTCACACTTCTAGGACTTCCATCTCAGGGACAACTTCAGGAAGTGAAGAAACTGGTAGGCAAACGTTCAGCCTCTCCATCCTCTGATAGGATAACACTAAGGTTTCTCAGAATTGCCCTATAATAGTAACAAGATCACCAGCATTTTCTCTATTGAATTTCCTGGAATAATCTCCTAAATGAGCTCCCTGCATCCAGGGTCTGTCTTGGGGAGAACCCAAACTAACATAGTGTTCAGTGCTCAAAAGAAAGATACTTGTATTCAAAATATGTTCATTCAAAATTAGGTTTTGCAACTTTTGGAATTGTGTCCTTGGAGAAATTCTGTCACATCCCTGATCCTCAGATGATTCATGTGAAATGCACTGCACCTTGCTGGGTTGTTATGCAGGTTAAAGAAGAGCATCAAAGCTTCCTATAAGTGACAGCTTCCTGGAGCAACTGACCTAATGAGTCCCCTATGTCTGTCACCAGGCCCCAGATTGACTTGTTTAGGTCAGTCAGCATTTTTGCTGTGACTACCAATAGATCATCTCAGATCGTGACTTTTGTGCCACTTCATCAATGGCCTACGTGGCCAAAAGGAGAATTACCTCCTGTTTACACCCTGTCTCCTTTCCAGATATTCTTACTGCATGATATGATAAATAAAAGGCCATTGAAATCTTGTCCCAGGTAGCCCCACAATCATTCCCTGAGGAGTGTGAAATCATGAATAGCCAAAACTTAAATGTGTAGCAGGTATCACTGAGTCAAAATTAGAATTTGGAATCAGCTGAGCTTATATAGAGGAGCTTCCTCAGGTCTCCATTTCCATAAGATGATTTCTATACTCAAAGAAGAAAGTTCAGAGCCTATGACATCAGCCCCACTCTCTCTAAATATAACTGAATCACATAAATACCTTGGGGAAAGAGGCCAAAGGACTTTCCATAGGCTTGAAGATGAAAACAGCCAAAACATATTGGTTTGGATGCCACACATACTAATGTAAACTCATCTGTGACAACAGCTAAGATGTAGGTCCTTTAAAATGCTTATTTTATTTCATGTCATAGATAACATGGAGCTCTATATGGTCTGGATACTTAGACTACAGTGCCATCAATGGAAGTTGTGAGGGCTGTGGTGATATCAGATTGTGTTGTTATTCACTCAGGATGGCTGGCAAAACATTAAAAAGCATATTAAGGAAAGTTATAGATTATAGTCTCAAACCTTTTGGAAGGCTGAAAGGTTTTATTGGGGCAAGCTTAAGGTGGCTGACCAGTCGATTGAGTTAGGGAGAAGACAGGGACGATCAAAGGCCTTCCCAGTTTAAGTCTGTTTACCCCACATCCCTTTGTCTCCACTCTAACTGTTTACTCATGTAAACTTTGTGCTAGGTGGTCCTCTCAGGGGGAGATCAAAGGGGAATTACCTGTTAACAGGGTTTACTCTGGGCCTGAATCGTAAAGCTTTTATTATTTATATAACCACTCCTTTAATCATGTTAAT